AGGGAAGTTTGGAAATGTGTGACATTCTGTTGAAAGATGAATGATTTAATGTTTCTCTTCTAAATTTAGAATCTAGGATAGAGAAAAAGAAGATGAAATGGCATTTTTGGACTATCATTTAGAAGAATGCGCACAAATAGCGGATGATTACATTGTTCTAAGCAAGCTCATTAGCAAAGCTAATAATCAATTGCAATCTGCATATATATGAGCACAAGCAATAATGAAAGAGCAAATTTCAGTGACCTTACTGAAGAGGTTACAATTATTAGCTAAATATAAATGTACATCTTAACACATAGTCATTTTCTTGTTCTAAATGAGGGATATTTGTTGCAGATGCCCATGGAAATGGGCAAACTTAATAGGATCTACTCCCTTTTTGTAGGAACACTGGATTCCTGAGACTTTGCTTAAGCATTTTTTTGTTTCGTTTGTGGATTTTTGTGAAAGACAAGAATCACAGAAATGATTGGAAAAGTTGGAAGAGACCCCAAGGGCCATCTAGTCCAACCCCATTCTGCCATGCAGGAATACACAATCAAACCATTCCCCACAGATGGTCATCCAGCCTCTGCCTAAAGATATCCAGAGGAGTCTCCACCATTAGACAAATGCATTATATGAGTCTACACACTGACCATACAATGTAGATGGAACTGTAATGCAGTCCTGCTTCAGTGGGAAATATTTTGGTTTCTTTGCCCCTACAAGTATAGAACCAGCTTGAGATTGCACATTGTAGCATAGCAAATGGAGATGTCTGTCTGTCTCCTGGACTGCTATAACTATACTTAAAAATTCAATTAGAATGTGTAAGGCGACATTAGTATGAGATTGGTAAGTTTGCATGCACCCTGGTTTGCCCTCATACGCCAGCCTGACTTTCAACCCTTTCCACCCCATATCTAACCTTTCCATGTTCAGCACATTGGTTTGACACAGTATGCTTATTGCACTCAATGAACATGCAAAGATTGGGAACAGTGCATGCAAACATCAAGTGAGGGGAGATGTTGGAATGGGGGGTGACATGTGTATCTCCCTCAAATGTCCAGAGCATAGACTCATAAAATCATGGAAAAAGTTTATTAAACTACAAACACTTAGTTCTGCAGCACATTTTGCTATCCCTCATAGTCTCAACCAATTCAACATAGTTTGTGGCAGCCACAAAAATGAAGTTTCTGCAGTAGAATCATAGAGTTGGAAGAGACCTCATTGGCCATCCAATCCAACTCCCTGCCAAGAAGCAGGAAAATTAGATTCAAAGAACCCCCCCCCCCCCCCCCCCCAAGATGGCCTTCCAGCCTCTGTTTAAAAGCCTCCAAAGAAGGAGCCTCCATCACACTCCGGGGCAGAGAGTTCCACTGCTGAACAGCTCTCACTGGGGATTCAGCTCTGTGGCTGGCTCTACTCCTGCCGCAATGCTGAGCATTAGCTTTGCATACCTACCTAAGAAAGTGTGTAGCTAATAAATACATCCAGGAGTAGCAACTCGAATGTTATGAAGGGTCTGAGTGGCAAACAGGCTTGATAGGATTATCAGTGGGTCTCTTTGAGTCTCTGGGCTCAATTCTATAGAATAATGGGAATTGTAGTTTTCCAAGGATGCGAGTGAGATATGCAAGTGGGGAAGAAATCCCTAAACATTGTAGTTTACCTAACTTATTGTGATGTTTGGGGCTCTGTTATGAACATAACTCAGATAATTAAATATACAAGTTTCCCCCTGACATTAAGTCTAGTTGAGTCTGACTTTGGGGGTTGGTGCTCATCTCCATTGCTAAGCCGAAGAGCCGGCGTTGTCCGTAGACACCTCCAAGGTCAGGTGGCTGGCATGACTGCGGTACCTATTGATCTACTGACATTTGCATGTTTTTGAGCTGCTAGTTTGGCAGAAGCTGGGGCTGACAGCGGAAGCTCACGCCGCTTCCCAGATTCGAACCTGTGACTTTTTGGTCAACAAGTTTAGCAGCTCAGTGCTTTAACCCACTGCGCCACTGTGTTAGATACAGTTATGAAAATAGATAAATCTTTTCTTGTAGAGTTTGGGCTTGGACAGATCATGAATTTTAATGAGCGACCAATGCCGCATTTCAATCTGCGATTAATGGATTTTATTGAACAGTAACATACATTGATCAAGCTCTTTTGAAAACGACGGGCTTTCCATCAGCTTTTAAAACAGGCCATGTGTCATTCAAACCCAAAAGGAAGAAATGTTGTAATTTGAGATCTTAGACAATTGCAGGTTTTTATATCTTGGGCCGCATCTACTCTGCCATATTATATGGTAAGTGTAAACTTATAGAATGTATTTTAACTGCATTGAATTCTATTATAGGAGTCCAGACAATATGATGTGGCAGTGTAGATGGGGACTCAGAAAGGACAACTGTAACAAGGTTAGTTAGTTTTAGTTACCCTAAGAGGCCTTTCTCCTTGGTTATATCACCACTGTAGAATGAAAGGAGCTTCACATCTCTTTACTTGTCATGGCTCAATGCTATGGAATAATTGGGAGTTGCAGTTAGACAAGGCCTTTAGCCTTTTCTTCCAAAGCGTGTTGATGCCTCACCAAACTATAACTCATAATTAGTGGTATAACATTGGTCAATGCATATTTTGGTCTCCGATGTTAGTCCTGTTTCTGAGTATGTTTGATTCACTGGTTCCAAAATTGGTACCAGTTTCCACTATCAGCTTTTGTTTTTGAGAAACAGAACATATGCCAGTCGTCATCTGCTCATCTATGGCAGGCATCCTCAGAGGCTGTGAGGTCTGTTGGAAACAAGGCAAGTGCGGTTTATATGTCTGTGGAATGTCCAGGGTGGGAGAATGTATTTATTCATTTACATCACTTTTATCCCACCCATTTCAGCCCGAAGGCGACTCAGGGTGGCGTACAAATCGGCAACAATTAGATGTTATATATAAATACATACATCAGTTAAAAGCAAAAAAATACATCATAAAACGTTTAAAAACCTTTACTTACTTACTTACTGAGTCTGAGGATGATGGTCCTTCAAGTGTAGTGTCCTGGTGGTGGGTCCATAGGTGACTGTGGAGCCCAATTCTTGATCTGCATCTTCTCCCACAGTGAGGGCATCGGTTTCCAGGTGGAAGGCGGTCCCGGTTGGGGTTGGCTTGACACGCCTTCCTCTTGGCAAGTTTCTCTCTTTCGCCCTCCATTTGTGCCTCTTCAAATTCTACAGCACTGCTGGTCACAGCTGACCTCCAGCTGGAGCTCAAGGGCAGGGCTTCCCAGTTCTCAGTGTCTATGCCAGAGTTTTTAAGGTTGGCTTTGAGCCCATCTTTAAATCTCTTTTCCTGCCCTCTGACATTCCATTTTCTGTTCTTGAGTTCGGCATAGAGCAACTGCTTTGGGAGATGGTGGTTGGGCATCCAGATAATGTGGCCGGTCCAGCGGAGTTGATGGCGAAGGACCATCACTTCAGTGCTGGTGGTCTTTGCTTCTTCCAGCACGCTGACATTTGTCTGCTTGTCTTCCTGAGAGATTTGCAGGATTTTTTGGAGGCAGCGCTGATGGAATCGTTCTAGGAGTTGCACGTGACCATCTTGCCCTTGGTCGGCCCCTCTTCCTTTTACCTTCCACTTTCCCCAGCATTATTGTCTTCTCTAGGCTTTGCTGTCTCCTCATGATGTGGCCAAAGTACTTCAGCTTTGTCTCTACTATCCTTCCCTCCAATGAGCAGTCGGGCTTTATTTCCTGGAGGATGGACTGGTTGGATCTTCTCGCAGTCCAAGGCACTCTCAGAACTTTCCTCCAACACCACAGTTCAAAAGCATCTCCCTTCCTTCGCTCAGCCTTCCCTATGGTCCATATAGAAGCAATAAAAACAATAAACATTATAAAACTATGTCTTCCTGTTCAATTCTTCAGCCGTTTCCATCGTCTTAGCTGTTCCTTGTTCATATTACAAGGAATATGTTTCTTACAGAGAAATAATTCTTTTCGGCTTGAGAAAAGTGTGAATGTTGCAATTGGCCAGTTTGATTAGCATTGAATGCCCTCGCAGCTTCAAAGCCTGGCTGGTTGCTGCCTGGGAGGATCCTTTGTTGGGAAGTGTTATCTGGTCCTGATTGAGTCTTGTCTGGAATTCCCCTGCCAGGCTTTGAAGATGCAAAGCTATTCAATGCTAATCAAGAGGGCCAATTTTATTTATTTATTTTTTGTCGTGTCAGTAGCGACCTGAGAAACTGCAAGTCGCTCCTGTTGTGAGAGAATTGGCCGTCTGCAAGGACGTTGCCCAGGGGACACCCAGATGATTTGATGTTTTATCATCCTTGTGGGAGGTTTCTCTCATGTCCCCGCATGAGGAGCTGGAGCTTATAGACGGAGCTCATCCGCCTCTCCCCGGATTCGAACCTGTGACCTGTCGGTCTTCAGTCCTGCCAGCACAGGGCTTTAACCCACTGCGCCACCGGGGACTCCAGGAGAGGTACATGATGGTGGGAAAGATACATTACAGCAAGGAAAGGCAGGGAAGCACAGAGTTCAGGGTAACCAATTTATTAGGGAATCATAAGCAGTCTGTAGCTATTTTCCTGATTGTCTGAACATGTGCAAAGCCAAACAAGTACACTTTAAGTGTCTGCAGCCTTTGAAACTCTCTGCTGCAGGCACGAAGGGAACAAATAATAATTTTGCCCAGTGGGGTTTCATGCAACAATGCTAATCAAGCTGGCCAATTGCAACAAGAGTTCTTTCTTCCATCCTGGACATTCCACGGATACATAAACCCCACTTGTCCTAGTTTCCAACAGACCTCACAACCTACCATAGATGTGGGGGAAACGTCAGGAGAGAATGCTTCTGGAACATGGCCATGCAGCCTGGAGAATGCACAGCAAGGGTTTCCCTCCTTCAACTCACTGTCCAGCCCTTTAAAATGAAGCATCCTTCTCTCTCTAGCGGCCCCTAGTGGCCGCCGCAGGGATAATGGAATAGTTCCATTTGCAGTAGAGGACACACACACACTGGCATATGATCTGGAGCTCCTCCCTAGATTCATTCATTACATTGAATGGTAAGGAGGACAACTCCTTCATCCCTCCCTCCTCGTTTCAAGGCAGGCTTTGGAGGAGGAGCCAGAGAGGCAGCAGCAGAGGAGCTGGGAGAGAGAGAGAGGCAGAGAAAGAGAGTCGGAGGAGAGAGCAAACGAGTGAGTAGCAGCTGAGGCTGGGGCTTAAAATGGCGGGAAGGGAAAGCCAAGCCAGGAAGAGAAGGAAAGGGAGGGAAGAATGGCTTTGCACATTGTGGTTTGACACTGCATCCCCTTCCATGGGTGTGTGGCTGCAATGAGGCACCAGTACTCTCTGGCAGGGATATGGAGTCAGAGAGGAGGCACTTCTATTATTTCTATGTAGCCCTAACTTGCTTCTTGTTGTTGTTATTGTTATGAATTCTTTAAAATGTGGATATGATGGAGGACCCATCTAAATAAACATGCATGCATGCCTGTTTGGAGTTTATGAGGTCTTGATAGACTGTAGAGCAGGCCTGGGCCAACTTGGGCCCTCCAGGTGTTTTGGACTCCAACTCCCACAATTCCTAACAGCCTACCGGCTGTTAGGAATTGTGGGAGTTGGAGTCCAAAACACCTGGAGGGCCCAAGTTGGCCCAGGCCTGCTGTAGAATGAATGCAATCTTGCACCACTTTAACTTCCTTGGCTGAGTGCTGGAGAATGATGGGATTTGTAGTTTGGCCCTTTAAAGACCTTGCAAAACTCCAATAGCATTAAACCATGGCAATTAACTCCATTCGTTCTGCAGTGTAGATGCCATACCCCAAGCTCCAAATGTTGTGACCATGGCTAAATGCTCTCCATAAGCCCAAATTATGTGACCATGGCTATCCTATAAGCTCCAAACAAGCATAATTATGCCTTCATGGCTAACTACCGCATAAGCTACAAACAAATACAATAATGTGACTATGGTTGTCAAACTGCATTCGTTCTGTGGTGTAGATGCATAACCCCATGGCTGACTACCTGAATAGCTCCAAATGATGTGTAAATGCCCCCCATAAACCTAAATTGTGTAGCCATGGCTATCCTATAAGCTCCAAACAAGCATAATTATGCCTTCATGTCTAACTACCCCATAAGCTACAAACAAATGCAATGATGTGACTGTGGTTGTCAAACTGCATTCGTTCTGTGGTGTAGATGCATATCCCCATGGCTGACTACCTGAATAGCTCCAAATGATGTGTAAATGGGTTGTTGTAGGTTTTTCCGGGCTATATGGCCATGTTCTAGAGGCATTTTCTCCTGACGTTTCGCCTGCATCTATGGCAAGCATCCTCAGAGGCAGTGAGGTGTAAATGTCCTCCCCCCATAAGCCCAAATTATGTGCCCATGGCTATCCTATAAATTCCAAACAAGCATAATCATGCCTTCATGGCTTACTACCCCATAAGCTACAAACAAGTGTAGTGATGTGACTGTGGTTGTCAAACTGCATTCGTTCTGTGGTGTAAATGCACAACCCCATGGCTGAGTACCCGAATAGCTCCAAATGATGTGACCGTGGCTATCTTATATGTTCAAAACAAGCGTAATTATGCTGTCATGGCTTACTACACCATAAGCTACAATCAAGTATAATAATGTGACTGTGATTGTCAAACTGCATTCATTCTGCAGTGTAGACGCACAACCCCATGGGTGACTACCTGAATAGCTCCAAATGATGTGACCATGGCTAAATGCCTCCCATAAACCCAAATTATGTGATCATGGCTACTCTCTATGTTCCTAACAAGCATAGTTTTGCCATCATGGTTAACTATCCTATCAACTCCAAACAAGTGTAATGATGTGACAATGGTTGTCAAACTGTATTCGTTCTGCGGTACAGATGCACAACCCCATGGCTGACTACCTGAATAGCTCCAAATGATGTGTATATGCCCCCCATAAATCCAAATTATGTGACCACGGCTATCTTATACGTTCCAACCCCATGGCTGACTACCTGAATAGCTCCAAATGATGTGACCATGGCTACATGCCCTCCTCCCCCAAGCCCAAATTATGTGACCATGGTTATGTTATACATTCCAAGCAAGCGTAATTATGCCATCATAGCTAACTACCCCATAAGCTAAAAAAAGTGCAATGATGTGACTATGGTTGTCAAACTGCATTCGTTCTGCGGTGTAGGCGCGCAACCCCATGGCTGACTACCCAAAGAGCTCCAAATGATGTGACTATGGCTAAATACCCCCCATAAGCCCAAATTATGTGACTATGACAATCCTATGAGCTCCAATATCTTATACACCCCAAACGAGTGTAGTGATGTGACTATGGTTAACTACGCTCGAATAAGTGTAATGAATCCTGCTTTGAGTCTTCTTTCGATGCTCGCTTGAATAAGCATAATGAGTCCAGCTTTGAGTCTCCTTTCGAAGCTTTGAGTCTTGTTTAAGAGGGGAAAGTGGGATATTATTATTAATATTAATAACACCAATAACGATGCTATGACCATGGCTAACGTCTCTGTGAATTACAAACCATTTATCCATGACTAACTACCCTATAAGGTCCTAACAAGCATAGTTAAGCTATCAGGGCTACCCATAAGCTACAATCAAGTGTAATGATGTGACTATGGTTAACTAACGCTCAAATAAGTGTAATGAGTGCTGCTTTGAGTCTTCTTTTGATGCTTTGAGTCTCATTTAAGACAGGAAAGTGGGATATTATCATTACTGGTAATATTAATAACACCAATACAGTAATGTGACCATGGCTAACATCTCTATAAACTACAAACTATGTAACCATGGCTAACTACCCTATAAGCTCCCAACAACCTTAGTTATGCCATCATGGCTAGCTACCCATAAGCTACAAATGTGTGTAATGATTGGGTTGCTGTGAGTTTTCCAGGCTGTATGGCCATATTCCAGAAGCATTCTCTCATGACGTTTCACCCACATCTATGGCAGGCATCATCAGAGATTTGAGGTCTGTTGGAAACTAGGCAAGTGAGGTTTATATGTAATGTAATGATGTGACTATGGTTAATAAGCAAATAAGCACAAAGAGTCCTGTTTTGGGTCTTGGGATACAGCCCTGTATCCCAGAATATCAAGGCAGAAAATCCCATAATATCTGCTTTGAACTGGGTTATCTGAGTTCATACACAGAATGTGAGATTTTCTTCCTTGATATTCTGGGATATAGGACTGCGTGGAAGGGTCCTAAGAGAGGGAAGTGGGGTATTAATATTAATAGCAACAACAACGATGTGACCGTAGTTTACTCCTCCCTAAGCTCCAGGTTATGTAACCTTTGCTAACTACTCTATAAGCTCCAAACAAGCGTAATGAGTCCCACTTTGACAAGACACTTTGAGCCTTGTTTAAGAGAGGAAAGCAAGGTTTTATTACAATGACAACAACGACATCAGCCATAATAATAGCACTATGTAACATGATTTTTGTTCCTGGGTTGTAAATGTCATTTCCTAATTGGTTCTATCATAAAAGCATGCAAAAAGTTTATAAAACTGCAAAAACTGCAGCACATTTTGCTATAGGTTTTCAATGAATATTTCAACCAGTTCAACATAGTTTGTGGCAGCCACAAAAACAAAGTTTCTGGAGTAGAACAACTACTTTCAAAGTAAGTACCGCACAATTAAACAGGAAATAACACTTTCAAACCAGGAACAGATTCCCCCCCCCCCCCACATTTTGCTACATAGTGTAATAGGACCATGGCTAGCTAACCCATAAGCTGCAAACAGCCTCCTCTCCTCCTCAGGATGGATGAAGGATCAGAGTAACTCCATCCATGGGCACAGTACTTCCAGTCAATATGGGGTTTATCCATATTAGTGCTATTGTGGCAAGGCGCCTGGAGCACTTTGCTCATTGACTCCTGTTGTGCTCCTGTGCAGTGTTTGCAAAGGAGGTGTTTTTCCTGCCACAAAAGCTGGATTTTCTGCAGGTGTTGGCTTCCACAGTGTTTTGATGACTAGTTTGTTCTCTGGTGAGAAGGGATATGTCTTTAGTAAACTAGAATTTATATTTGTGTGACCTCTTCTTGATCAATCATTTAGAGAAGAACTTGCTTGTACAGACAGTCCCCAAGTTACAAACAAGATGGGTTTTGTGTGTTTGTTCTTAAGTTGAATTTGTATTTAAGTTGAAACAGGAACATTTTAAAGTATATCTCTAGCTCCCTACCTCCAAATATTTTTAGCTCTGGATAAAATAGGGAAGGGCTAACACTCCTGTGGTGTATGTTTTGCTGTCTGTGCTCCTGTTCAGAAGATCTCACCTCACTTTCTGTCCCTGTGATAACTGGATTTTTGAAAAATTTGGCTTGTTGTGGAAACAAGGATTGGTGATAAAGTTGAGACCCCTTTTCCCCATGATAGCTCTTCCAGGACTGAATTCTCCTTCCAAGGGTAGGTTTCTCTCGCTTCCTGCTGTCTCACCATCTTTAGCACTGGGATTGTGGCGCAGCTGGCTGAGTGTCAGCTGCATTAAGATCACTCTGACCAAAAAGGTCATGAGTTCGAAGCCAGCCCGGGTTGGAGTGGATTTCCAACCTATTGTGTGTAGCCTGTTGTCCATCTTTGCAACTCGAAAGACAGTTGCATCTGTCAAGTAGGAAAATAAGGTACCACCTTAAAGTGTGGGGAGGCTAAATTAACTGATTTATGAGGCCATAAAGAAGACTCCAGCAAAGCATCCCAGCAGGGAAGATGCGGGAATGCAGAAGTGCTTCATCAGCTTCGCAGATGGATGTTGAAAGTGACAGCTCCCCTGGCGGCCAGAAAAATTTAAATAGCCTCTGTGTATGTCTGTATATGTTTGTATGTCAAAAATTGGCATTGAATGTTTGCCATATATGTAATCCGCCCTGAGTCCCCTGCGGGGTGAGAAGGGCGGAATATAAAAGCTGTAAATAAATAATAATAAATAAATTTCTTAACTGTGAGTCATTTATAAGTCAGATATTTGTAACTCGGAGACTGCCTATATGTGTATATTTCTTTTTAGATCAACCAGAATAAGAAATGTTGCAATTCACTTAGGTTTCACCAGGTCTGAATTCATTTACTAGTCCCAACTAGAGTGTATCTATTGAATTTGTGAGATTTATATAAGAGTTGGATTGTCATTCAGCAGTTGAT